AATTGGTTGCTTAAGCATCGCTACTCAATTTCTCTCGAACACGTGCAATCAGTTAATTTCATTAATTAGAGAAGCGTTCGCTCACAGTGAAGTAGATTTTTTCATTTCTTATTTGGAGCCAAAGCCGCATGAGACGAATTGCGAAGGCGAGTTCAATCAAAAGTCAGATATTGACGAGATAATGCAGCGCCGGGGGTGTCGCCGCATCACAACGTAAACCCGATCGTAAAACTAACTACCCCTCCCCGCCCCGCGTAGGCACGGCCGGCCGCTGGCCATCTGGCCTATGAACGACGCACCACACACAAAATCTGCAGAAATCAGTCTCGCGCCGATCCGCCAGCCGATCAGACGCATCCGACATGTACTCCGCGGCCGCCTCAGAGACACGCGTGCCGTCGTCCGCTCTGGACTTCCCGCCCGACTGGAGCGTTCCGGAGTGCAGCAGGGTGCGCCGCTATCACCACCAAGGGCGTAACCCTTCGCCTCCACTGAGCGGCTGGACCACCGCCGCTGACACACCGGCGGTCGCCAGCAACGACTCCGCCGCCGCGACAAACAAGGCTGCCGCCGTCAGTGCCGCCGCCGCCGTCCACGAGGCCGCAGCCGACGCTGTCCCGTGCTCACACGCTAGCGACCCAGAGACGCCGCCCAGCAGGTCATCCTCCGCGCACAGTTTCTGCAGCGCGGCGACCTGGCCAAACCCGGCGCTCGACAACAACAAAGTCAGCGACGCTGCGGACGCCGCCCACGGCCGCCCCAACGCAACCCCCTGCGGAGACGACAGCATCGAGGGGGCCCGCACCGACGCGCCGGCCGGCGCGCGGCACGACCCCGCACCGCTGCCCGGGCCGCCCAGGAAACCAAAGACGACGGAGGACTACCTGGTGGGTGGACTACCTCGTCCGGCAGGGATACACCGACCTCGAGTTCCTGGCGGTCCTCGAGGAAATGGCCAGCCGGCGCGAATCCACGAGCGCCGGCACACGTTCCATTCGTCCAGTTCAGTTGGGGCCCCGGGACGAGAAGTCGCAGCTTTCACCGCCCGGCAAAATGTTGCTACGAGCGCTCTTCGCGCAAAGTGAAATGAAAAATAGTGAACTATATATGGACCTTATCAGGCCATCAGGAAATGAATGTAGTGTGCTACATAGAAGGAAGGTGGTAGAAATTAGAAAAACAAAGTATAAAAAGTGGTTCGAAGTGCGCGATGCCGGGTGGCGCACGCACGCACCAAAACTATTCAAATCTGTGCCGCGAAGCCTAAAAGTGAAAAGTGCGAAACAGAACGGTGGGCAGTGCGGGTTTATAGACAATGCCCGTTCATGCCCAAAACAGGGCCAATGAAACGGTTTGAATTTATTTAGCGTGTGTTTTTTAATGTGTGTGTGCTAGTCGTAATTTTAATCTAAGTGTATTAAGTGATATCCCATTTTATTTGATTGATTAGAGTTTATGGATTGAATTTTGCAGTTAACTTCCGTATAAAAACGAACATTTTTTTTCGTTTTACCCGAGTGGTGTTTATAGATTTGAAATACATTAATTTATTTACGGGTTATATTTTGTATTTGTATTTGGCATTTCGAGTTAATCATATTATCTATAGTTTTAAGCGAAGGTTAAAGGGAACAACGTTTATGTTACTGTTTAAAACTAATTTGTTCCTCGTGAAACGCGTTATTTTATTGGTTTTATTGCACTCTGCCATTTTTTTTATTAAATCATTGTTTATTCCAAAAATGTCTTGTGTCCTGTTCTGACACGTAGTTTGCATCCTCTAAGTTCGATCTTATGCGATCGCGAAACCGTACCTTGTGTTTCGGTGCGCAACCTGCATGCAAGCCAAAGGCTCGGATTGTTTTCAAAACGAGGACGTTTTGCATTTAGACTTGTGGGATGTAATGCACAGGGGTACCAATTTATGTTATGACCATTCGTGACTCATAGAGGCCATGAGTAGCACGCCCAAACCACACCCGCGAGCTGCGCTCCGCTGCGCCCCTCCGCGCTCCTCCGCGCACAGTGTCTGCAACGGGGTCACCTGGCCAAAACCGGCGCTAGACAAGAACACAGTCAGCGACGCGGCGGACGCCGCCCACGGCCACCCTGCCCTATTGGTTCGTTCATATTGGGGGAGGAGAAGAACGCATCCGCCGAAAGTAAGTCGAAGACCAGCAAACGCTTGGCGTCGCCTCGCCATACAGTCACACCGCAGAGTTGAAAGAGTTAAGACGTGTCTTCACGAATGAGCTCCCCGAGATCCTGAACCCAAGCGCATCACCAGAATGTGTGAAGTATAGTGAATGAGTTAATTATATCTGCGGGAGCTATCATTAATCATAATCGAGATTACCCACTCCGGAAAGGAGATGAGGACTCCTACACGTGGTGAATATTTGAGTATCACCCAAATATAAAAACCTTACAACTTCTAGACCAAATTTTACTGAACGTTGTCTGGGTAGAACAAATTGTGAGGCCCTTACGAGGCTAGCGCAGCCGCGCAAGGATGTTATTGTATCGATGGTCCAAATGCATCGCTGCACCCCCGCGACCCTTCCTACGCGCTCCCTTAGTGGTGCATGGATATTGGGGTGCGTCCGCGAAAAGTAGACCCAGGGCAAACGAACGCTTGGCGTCGCCAAGCTCGACACAGTCCCGACAGAGTTCGAAAAGTGAAGACGTGTCTCCGCGAGTGAGTTCCCAAGACACCAAGCCAAGCGCACCATTAAAGAATGGGTGAAGTATAGTGACTTGAGAACAGTGTTAAGGGAGTTATCATTTATCCTGATCGAGGTAACCCACGCCTAAAAGGAAAATAGGAGACGAGACAGTGACATTATTGGTGTCAAGTCGGCACGCGACAGACCTGCCCTCAATACTAAAGTGGACGCCATTTCTAGTCATACTGACGTTTTTACTCGTCCAGAGACAGAACACGCCTCTGTGCTCAATTTGGCATTGACTGCCATTCAACAGCATGATGATGTTCAGCAGAATTTAGTTTAGCTCACAGAAGTAAGTGCAACAGCTATGATCGGTGAAGCAGCCGACTTTGCATCTATCTTAAGAGAAGGTAAACTAAGTCCAAAATTCGTAGAACCTGGCAACTTGTTAAAAATCGTGAATTCTCTAGCCATGTCTCGAAAGGATCATCGCTGCCTGTGACGCCGAGCAATGAAACCATTCATTACTATTATAATAGTATAAAGGTTATCCCTCTCTAATATGCACACTCTAAATGTCATGCAATGCAAAGTTAAATGCACTCTAAATGTCAAGGGACAATTTTGTCGGTAGATTTGGAACGGATTCGTGCACATCCAGAAAGGATGCAATTCTGTTTCCTTAATTGGACACAATTGTGTGAAGCCTCACACAATTTGTCTAGTTTTAAGAACAAAATTGCATCCTGTCTGGATGTTCACGAATCCGTTCCAAATCTACCGACAAAATTGTCCTTTGACATTTAGAGTGCATTTAACTTTGAATTGCATGTACCACTTGTGCACGATAACCGGAAATTTACATTTTACCGAGCAATACCTTGGCCATTCCAACCAAACAGCTCTGGCGAGATGTTCAGCTACCTCCAACCATAAAAGGAGTACATCGCTCACTGTTATTCAGATACTATGACGTCACATTCCATATAATGTGAATTGTGTCACATTATTTAGAATATCATGTCACATTATTTCGAACGGGACATGCCTTTTGCACCGCTCTGCCCTCAGGGGCTCAGTGCATAAGAGGCGTACCTATGTCACGTGAAAACTAATGTGACATGGTATTCTAAATAATGTGACACAATTCACATTTTATAGAATGTGGCGTCACAGTATTTGAATAACAGTACTCTGCACTCCAACTCCAGCATGCATCTCCTACTGGACAGCGCAGCCCGACAACAATGTGGCCCCGACAACGAGATTGGCATCTGTCACCCACTGACTGAGACTTACACCAATAAGTATACCTGCTCATATGCTTTGTTCATGTCTAATCCTGAGAAGGTCCAAAAGCACTGCAGCACGATGTGGACGCTGCGCCCCCGAGATCGCTTCGTTGGACTCAGGCACGGGTTGGATTGGGTGTTCAGCCTGACCAAACCGAGCACCACCATAAGCGACGCTTCATCCATATTACAGATGATTTGTGATCCGTGTTACATTTACACAAAATTCTCTGTGAGTCCGTAAAGCAATAAAAGTGTGATTAGTCTCCGCACTTTAGCACTGAATCATGAAGATTTTTACGCTAAGTAATTAATATTCGTTCGTTCTACAAGTTACGGAGTTCTGCATTCGATAAAACAATTCATGAACATGTTCTTCCTAGGCATGAGTTATCAAGAGCCTAATTACTGCCCCTAATAACACAAAATTGTCACACATAGTGTATTTTTTTCCATCGGCCAATTATTGTTACAACAACAAAAAACCAAAAGTGATCGCTTTTTTCACAGTCAGATGATTGTTGCGGGAAACATCTGGAGGGTACTCTGTCTGGAGGTTCCCACTTCAGTAT